TTCGTTGGATTCAGTCCCTGGGCTACCGGCACCCAGCGATGTGTTTATCGCTGATTTTGACTCGTCCAAGATAGCAACCACCACGGGTGAGGCCTCCACGACTACACTGTGGCGGAGCACGCCCTGGGCCTCCTGCTCAACGCCGCTCGTCGTTTCTACGAGATGCGCGACTCCCAGCTCCAGGGCAAGTGGCCCGGCCATCTCGGCGGCCCTCAGCCCGACCGCCCTGCCGACCGCTTCACCTCCCTGCGCGGCGCCAACGTTCTCATCTGGGGCTACGGCAACATTGCCAAGACCCTGACCCCCCACCTAGTCGGCCTCGGCGCCAAAGTCCGCGGCGTCGCGCGCAACGCCGGCGTCCGCAACGGTATCGAGGTCTTCGCAGAGGACAGCCTGCCCACACTCCTCAAGGAGACTGACGCGCTCGTCATGATCCTGCCGGGCTCCGACTCTACACGCCACGCTTTGAATGCCGAGCGTCTTGCTCTTCTGCCCAAGCATGCCTGGGTTGTCAACGTCGGCCGAGGCACGTCCGTCGACGAGGAGGCGCTGTTCCAGGCGCTGACGAAGGAGGAGATTGGCGGTGCGGCGCTCGATGTCTTCGACACGGAGCCGCTGCCTGGTTTGAGCAAGCTGTGGAAGGCGCCCAACCTGATTGTGTCGCCCCACGCTGCAGGTGGTAGGCCGCAGGATGCTGAGGCTCTGATTGCGGATAACCTGAGGAGGTTCTCTGCGGGCCAGCGTCTGAAGAGTTTGATGTAAAGTAGAGACAGGATAGAGACATAAATAGAGCAAGAAATGATCGTGATTATGAGGAGATACGTCTGATAGTTGAGAAGCGTCAATGCATTCGCCTGGATTCTTAAATTCGGGGTCCTTAAGATAATCTGCGTGGGGTTCTGTGGCACGTATGTTCTAAAATGTTCGAGCATGTAAATTAAACATTCGTCGTCGAAGCGGGCTTTCATAATTTAAATGCATTGAACTCCCCTTGTGGCAGGATGAGAGAAAACACTATGGTCCCTAGTTGTGGAAACCTCAGCATGTTATTCGGCAATATTGAATTTGGTACTTGAAAGGAAATACGTGATGAACAAATGTCTACATTTACATCAAGGGAGAACGAGGATTATTACACATGGTACGCATATAGATGCTGTGAAGACTTTCCGCTACCTCATAGGTCTGAGACATTCTGTTGGCACCCAATACATCTTTCTGCGTCTCACTACAGTATTATTCGATTTCAACTCGAAAGAACGCCGGTCAGATTTGTTCAAATCGTCATTTCTTGACATTGTTGCCAAGGGTGTCGAGAATACCGGCAACAGGAGGGGCAAGTCCGCCCAGACCAAGAGAAGTCAGATGAAGGGAACATCGGGGGGACAGATCGTTGAGGAGCTGTCGCTTCTTAACATGATTGCCGAGAGTATCAACAATACCGGCGACAGGGGGTGCCAGTCCACCAAGACCAAGAGAGGCCAAGAGGAGGGCGACATCTGGTGAAAGATCACTGAGAAGCTGTCGCTCCTTCACGTCGTTTCTTAGAGTATCGACGATGCCGGCGACAGGAGGGGAGATGCCACCCAGGCCGAGAGAGATCAACAGAAGGGCGACATCGGGGGACAAGTCATTCAGCAACTGTCGCTTCTTGACGTTATTGCCAAGAGTGTCTACGATAGCACCAACTGGAGGAGCAAGCCCGACAAGTTCCAGGGACGCGAGGAGGCCAGCGACAGGAGGCTCCAGGCTCTTGAGTAGCTGACGTGCCTCGATATCAGACTTAGAGACAGCCTACGGGGCAGCCCCAGGCTGGGGCTCTGCAACAGGCGCAGCCATGGGCGCTGCCAGCGAGGATGAGTGTAATGGTGTTCAAGAAGCGCATTTTGTAGGTGCAAAGGAGAATGTGATATGATGAGAAGAGGTAGATGAAGAGTGAGAAGTTGCTTGGCCTAGATGTTGTAGATCGTGTTTGTTCTGATGAAGATGAGAAATCAGAAGCAAAAATGGGAAGAGCCTGCATGAGTTTTATACTTGTTCTTGTCCTCGTTGTACGGACGTATTCTCTAACAAAGCTACGTTCGGTATCGCTTTGAGGACATATTGCATCATCAACTAAGATCAAGTGAGAGGCTCGGAAGCTTGAAGCTCATGTACATGATCCACAGTGATCCGGGTGTCGCGGTTGCAGTTGAACTGACGATGAGGCAGAAGCGCGACTTTGCACTTGTGGTCTCTGTTTAAGATTTATATGATCAACAACGACGGCGTCGTGTTGGTGCTTTATGGTAGCTGCCCTCTACTGGTATGCTTGTTTGTAAGTTTTGAAGCCGAGTTATCGATCACGTATTGACATGGCCGAACGGTTATCTTACTTGATGATACAAGCTACGCCTAAGCCGAACTCAGTTTCGAATGTATCCACTGAAATGATCAGGGGCAGATAAACAGGCCATGGACATTACGTTCCTCGTGCACAATCGCTTTGCTGGTCGAAATGGTCTTAGAAGACGTTGATACGGGCACATACAGCAACCCAGTAGCTCGCCATGAGGCGCTCGAGGTGCACCTCTGTAAGTAAGTGCAAGATATTCGGGCTGTCGCCCTATAACAATGTGGAGAGCTCGTCACTGTACAACAGCAGAGCTAAGAAAGTATGTCTTTGCTACGTTTTAAGGGGTCTGAAAGCCGTGTGGCGCTAGACGGACTGCCTAACGATGCTGTCACTGTACCCAAATGCCCCTCAGTTGCCGAATATTTGACAGAGATAATACCAATCTGGCCAAAACCCTAGCTTTAGCATTTAAACTAACTATCAGATGTCGAACTCCAGATTGACGGCATTCGTGTCGGGATCTATCGAAAGGTATATCATGCAAACCACAAAGTCAAGTTCCCTCTTTAGCAATCACCAAGATTCAGACATCAGGAATGTGAGCTTATGAGGTAATGACGGATGAAAAGCGCCCGTGCTATCTAAGTGTGATCGGTAGTGTGGATTTTAGCGGGTGGAACACCGATCTGGCATCACGCTGTTGAGCTTCGAACTCTGTGTCGAGCATACTACGGCAGGTTTATGCACGTGTTCCCTGTTTCCATCTTCCGAGCACTTGCATCAGTCAATAACTCGCAGGAGATAGCTGCATCATTCGGTGGCTACTGAGCCAACTGAACGGCACCGTGGCGGTCAGAACGGTGGTAGATCGGGAGCTTCAACTCCCAGGACTGGCATTCTGAATCATGCTGACGGGACTTTTCAGTGCTGGCATGGAAGAGACGACTCATGAAAGTGGAAACACCTTTCTTGGGGCATCCTCATCATGACGAAGAAGCCTGAAGCTTGATGACCCTCAGACTGCTTTGCTCTGGCTTACGCACGAGAAAGAGGGGATATTGACAATGATTCCACGCAAATCCACAGAAGTCCTTCGATCAATCAACCGCCTAACTAGCGTTGTGTGATGTGGGGAATACAGCGAAGGTTCTTGGACCATTCTAATGCAAAAGCATTGTAACTCATCTACCTTGGGACCTGGGGTGAGACCTCGTTGTCCTCCCTCGTGCGGTCCTCGTGAAAGCCACGCAAGCAGAACATGCAAACAGTCATGCCCACCACTACTCTATGTCTCCATAGAGGTCGGGTATGGGGCAGCAATAACAGACTAAAGGCACGGGATCGGTGGAAACAAACATCCAGCCGACCGACGTTCGGGCAGACGGGAACGGAGTCGAACCCGGCGCAGTGCACAGACCAGCTCTCCGCACGCTTGTTTATATAAACTCCAGGCACAGCGATCCTCGCGCTTCCAGAGTCCGGCTCTACAGCTGGTCGGCGAGCCGCAGCCAAATTTGGCGCGGCGAAAACTCAAGAAGCTGAGCTAGTCTTCGAGTTGACCCTAAACAGCATGGCTCCCTCAGCGCTCATTCAAACTAGCCCGCGAAATGAGACGCTGGGAAGCTCCTGGACATCCCATGACACCGCAACCTACAACTCCAGTCATGGAGCTTCGACAGAGCTCTTTGTCGGAGTCGGGCTGGCTGCCGACGAAGCTTCTATCAGATGCATGGTGAAAACCAAACGCTCGGGGTCTTGTACGCCCTAAAGCGGCGTCACGTATGTCTTGGTCTTCAATGAATCTAAGCTGAAGAGGGGAGATGCAGAAAAGCCTAACGCTTGATGTAGGAGGGATTTGTCTGACATCTCGCAACGGTAGTCGCAGTGAGGCAGTCTCCCAGTGCTGTGGCAGCATTCCGTAGCGATAAGCAATCCATGTGACACCCGCAAACAGAAGATCACCGTTTCTCCGTTCATTCAGCTGCTGCAGAAAGGTTGAATGATGTGGCCGTCAGGCGGGGTAGCGCCTTATTGCTAGTAGTCTCAGACGCTGGGTTCCTGATGTTGTAGTGCCGGCGTGCTTTGAATACTGCCAGAACAGACAAGCTTGCAACGATCTCACTGAAGAAACACGACAAGGCGTCATGATACATTGGAAATCTTCACTTATCTGGGACGGTGTGAGTATACAGTGACTAAGCAAAACATTCTTGTGTTGGACGTGTCATCGATTCTCAGGGTCTGTGGGCTCTGCTGCCCTATTCACCACGTTCTGCTGAGCTTCAAATCACTCATTTCATGCCCTTTATTGGGCAGTCAGTCTTGTACGTCGGCTCCCGGGAGGACTTCCCGCCGACTCTGATTTCTGATCGGAATGAATGATCGAGGTTCATGAGAATGAGGGAAGCTACGTCCCGAGGCAACTCGATAAGGAAAACTCCACAGATTTCGCTCAATCATCATTATGATCGGTATACCCTTCTATTCCATGGATTGTTTCGTGTTCTATTCCTGAATATGCCTCGTTTGGATATGAGCCTGACTTGCCTCCTTTTCCGAAAGCGATCAACTACTTGAAGTATATACTCTTAAAGTTCAAGATAATATGGTATTTGAACGTATTGCTTCTTCTGCCAATCGACCCCGTCCAAGTCCTCCGTACCATGGTAGAATGTCACGATATTACAGCAGCGCCGACCCTCGCCTGAATAAAAGCCCGACACGTCAAACCCAGCAAGGTCACATCCTAGGCACAGCCCCTGATGCACCCAAAGATCGCCCGCCGATCCTCAGATCCACCACGGAACAGCATCAGATAATTGCCCTTCTCGGCCGACGGAAGCTCTCAAGAGAGATTGTGAAACCTCGCCGACCAAGAATAAGACTCCTTGCCCCAAGGAAAAACTGGTCATTAGGTCGGGCGCTCCCCGGCTCCGTGGTCCCATGCCGGCAAAGATCACCTGCGGCACGGGTGCACGAGATTGACGAACGCCATACCGGCAAGACACCGGGCGGGACGCTCGGGACATCTTCATCTATACGAATCTCTATCCGCCAATTGCGGCACGCTTGGGGTACCGGACGAGTCTCCGGCAGCATGGGAGGCAGGTCGTGGAACCAACATGGTACGGGTTGATATTGCACGGAAGCTCAATGGCAGGCTCTACAAGTGATGCAGTGCACCGTGAATAGAGTGATTCCGCAGTCAGTCATCATTTTCGTTGGCACATGTGTTCCAAAGGAACGCTGGCTTGAAAACAGCCACGGTCTCATAGCAGGGTATTTAAAGTCAACGTCCCAGATCATAGTCCAAATTCAAAGCAGAGCCTTGATTTCAACCAAGTCCCCCAAGTGCCACAGCATCGTCAAGATGTCCATGATGTCTGCTTTCAGCCGTTTCCTCTTCCCTGCTTTGTTATTCTATGCTCCTCTCGCTGCAGCCCACAGCCGCGTCGCCAACATTATCATAAACGGCACGTCTTACGAAGGGTTCAACGCTAAACAACCGACCAACAACCCACCCGTCCTCGTAGCCTGGAACACGACCGTCTCCGACGACGGCTGGGTCAACTACGAGTCCTACGCCCACCCCGACATCATCTGCCACCGCGACGCCGTGCCGGCGCGCGGCCACGCACCCGTCGAAGCCGGCTCCACGCTCTCGGTCCAGTGGCAGGGCTACCCCGAGTCGCACAAGGGGCCCGTACTGACGTACCTCGCGCCGTGCCACGGATTCTGCGAGGACGTCGATAAGACGGCGCTCGAATTCTTCCTCATCGGAGCGCGGGGTCTCGTTGACCCGGACGGCGTGGCAGGGCCGTACCCTAGCGCGCCGGGCATCTGGGCGAGCGACGAGTTCATCCAGAACAATGCGTCGTGGGTGGTCAAGATTCCCGAGACGGTGAGGCCGGGCTATTACGTGCTCCGCCAGGAGCTCGTGGCGTTGCACTATGCGCGGATCGACGGGCTTGGGACGCAGCATTATCCGCAGTGCGTCAACCTCGAGATCATCGGGGAGGGAGAAGAGGTGCCTGAGGGAACTCCGGCCGTGGAGCTCTACGGGAAAACCGATCCGGGGCTGGTGTACGATGTGTCCAAGGAGCCGCTGTCTGCTTACTTGATTCCGGGGCCGACGTTGTGGAGCGGAGCGGAGGCTGAGGTCCAGCAGACGATGCCGGTCATTACGGGCACTGCAGAGGCGATCCCGGGTGGCGACCATGTTGCGCCAGGCCCTATCGCCAGGGCTGAGCCGACTGATGCGTGTGTACGGTGACATGGGTGGCGTGCTCATGATTGTCTGGCAATCTGATTTAGGCAACCCTCTCGATCCCCTCAACAATTCAACATATCCCACGCGTGTTGATGGTGGTGATTGCAATGTGAAGAGGTGGCAGCACAGCAGATGACGTTTCCCAAATCTGACCGC